CCTGTTTGAATGGCTACAATTAAAAAGATTGATCTTACCAAGTGTTATTGAGGATGTAGAGATGCTGGAACTCTCATGCACTGCTGGTGGGAATGTAAAATGGTGCAACCACTTGGGAAAACTATTTACCAGTTTATATAAAAGCTATATATATATATATATATCTACCATATGATCTGGTCATTTGACTCCTTTGTATTTACCCAAGAGAAATGAAAGCATATGCAGATACAAAGACTTAAACATGAATACTCATAGAAGTTTTATGTGTAGTAAGTGGAAAATAACTCAATATTCATCAACAGTGGTATGGATAAGCAAACTGTGGTATATCCATACCATGGAATACTACTCAGCAATAAAAAGGAAGAAACTATTGATATACTCAACATCATTCACTTTCAAAATAATTATCCTGTGTAATAAAGAATTTGTCTGGCATTTGTCCCCAGTTTCTAGGAGACAGTCTCTGAATCCTTGGAATTTTCCAAGCTATAAGAGTGTCTTCATTATTTGCAATGGGCCCCTCAGACCACACTTGAACTTATGCTAATGAGGTAACTCTTGATAGGCTTCTAGGTAATATATACTAATAGAATGACTCAGGATGGGGGCTGACCATGCCAGAAATACCAACCATTTGACGAGAAGAATGAAGCTTTGAGCTTTTGATATAGGCCTGACTTCTGGGGAGAGGAGTGGGACTGAAGATTGAGTCATAGGCCAATGATTCAATGAGTCATGCCTATGTGATGAAGCCCAAATAAAAAACAATGGACACTGAAGCTTGGGTGAGTCTTCCTGGTTGGCAACACTCTGCATATCATCACACATCAGTGTGCTGGGAGGGTGATGCATCCTGACTCCATAGGAGAGAACATGGAAGCTTTGTGTTTGGAATCCAGCCAGATCTCACCCTGTGGGTCGGTCTCTGATTTGTATCCTTTGGCTATGAAAATTGTAATTATAATTAAAGTGTTTTTCTGAGCCCTGTGTCGTTCTAGTGAATTATTGAACATGAGGGGGGAGTGAGAACCCCTGAACTTATGGCTGGTGTCTTAAGTAAGGGCAATCTTGTGCCCTTAACCTTGAGTCTAACTTCAGGTAACTGGTGGCAGAAGTCACTGCAATTATGCTGAATGAAAGAAGTCAGATATTAAAAAGTGCATACAATAGTCCTTTAAAATGCAAACTAATATATAATGACAGACAGATCAGTGGTTACCTAGACAAAGGTAGAGGGGGTAAGAGAGAAGGGATTATTAAAGGACAGGAGGAAATTGAGGGGGAAGGATGGAATTGTTGAAATTTGTGGGGGATGGAATTGTTCACTATCTTGATTGTGGTGACAGTTTCACAGGTATACACATATGTCAAAATTTATTGAACTGTACAGTTTAAATATGTACACTTTATTGTATGTCAACAAAACCTCAATAAAGTTACTTCTAAAGAAATGGCTCAGTGTAGTCCTCACCTGCCATGACCCTGACCAGAGCCTTCCATAGTTTGTAAAGTCTGCAGAATCGAGGCTACCCATGATCTGGTCTCAAGCTCCTCGCAGTCTTGCATTTCAGTACTCCCTACACAAATCCTTTTCTCCAGTCAAATTGTACTTCTTGTTATTCTCCACGTATTCTTCATACTTTACCCACCTTTGTAGCTTTGCTCATGCTGGTTTAGAATGCCATCTCCTGAGTTACCACCCTCTCTTTACCTGTTTGCCTGTCCCTGAAGGCTTGGATTTAAATATAATCTCCGTCAAACTTGATTTGAATTCTTGAGTCAGAAACTATCTTTTTCTTAAACTCCAGTAATGCCTTTTGGCCTGTGCTTCCTTATGTATGTAGGAATAGAAATAAATCTTCTAGTTAGACTATTAGCTTCTTGAAGGTGAAGGCTATGCATTTTATTCATCCTTGAATTCCCCATGGCAAGTAGTCAAATATTGACTAAAGAGCCTACACACAGATTTCTCAGCATCCCATCCTTCCCGTAAAATCTTTTAGATTCTTCAATTATTACATCTCTCAGTCTCTTCCTCCTTCACTACTCCCTCCCCCAACCTGTGCTTCTCTTTCTCTTCCTTCTTCTTCTTCAGGCTAAACCACACTTACTAACTTAACTCTTTTCTTAAGTCAATTCTTGTTCTTCATCCTTTTGTTTATGTTAAGAGGACATATGTATACGCCAGGCTCAGCCTGTAATCCTAGCACTTTGGGAGGCTGAGGCGAGTGGATTGCCTGAGCCTTCAGGTTTGAGACCAGCCCAGGCAACTTGGCGAAATCTTGTCTCTACAATAAATAAAAAATTAGCCAGCTGTGGTAGCACACGCCTGTAGTTCTGGCTAATTGGAAGGCTGAGGTGGAAGGATTGCCTGAGCCCAGCAGGTCAAGGCTGGGTGACTGTGAGCATGACACTGCACTCCAGACTGGACAACAGAGTAAGACTCAAAAAAAAAAAAAAAAAAGAACATATGTGTGTTTGTATTTTGGTATTATTGTATGCTGTCTACATAGTAAATACTATCTACTATCCAGGAAATTTCAAATGACAGCTACCTTACATCTTAATACTTAAATTTCCCCTCCTTCTCCTTCCTTCCTGCCAGTTTCTTAGCCATAGAGCACAGTGAATCTCAGACCTAGATTGGATCTGAATCACAACTCTGCCACCTACTAGCTGTGTGACCTCAAGCAAGTTGCTTAGCAATCAGTTCTGCCAACTGTAAACTGGAATTGCTGTTAGTGACTATATCCCATGATTGCTTTGAGGAATAAACGAGTTAGTACATGCCAAGCGTTTAGAATAGTGCTTGGCCTAGAATAGCCACTCAATAGGTATTATTCATTTAATTGCATGCTAAAAGTGTCTGGCAAGGAAGTGGTGAGAAACAGAACTGGAAAGGGTAATCAGGTAGACTAGTGCTTTGTTAACCACATGAGAATCACTTGGAGATTGTATTAAAAATACTGATTTCAGGCTGGATGCAGTGGCTCAAGTCTGTAATCCCAGCACTTTGGGAAGCCGAGGTGAAAGAATTGCCTAAGCCCATGGGTTCAAGACCAGCCTGGGCAACTTGGTGAGACCTCATCTCTACACTAAAAAAATAAAAAAAATTAGCTGGGCATGATAGCGCATGCCTGTAGTTCCGGTTACTTGGAAGGCTGAGGGGGAAGGATCACGTAACCCCAGTAGGTTGACGCTGGGATGACTGTGAGTGTGCCACTGCACTCCAGAGCCTGGGCGATGGAGTGAGACTCCAACTCAAAAAAAAAAAAAAAAAAAAAAAAAAAAAAAATATATATATATATATACCACACACACACAGAGATTTCTGTGCCTCACTTGCAAGATGCTGCTGGAACCCAGGAACCTGTCTTTCTCTGAATGTTCCTCAGATTTGAATGCACAGCTGGTTTGGGGAACTACTGGCATAAAATAACACGCCCACAGTTTGGGGTAAGATCTGGACTCTGGTGGTGTTTCTGCCAGTGACCCAATGTGTGACTTTTTGAGATTACATTTTATCATTTCTAAAATGCAGTAATAAATTTGATTTACTCATAGGGTTGTTGTGGGGGTTAAATTGCTAGTCATTTCTGTTGAGGCTGCTGCAGATGTTTCTAGTTGCCAATCCTATATCCAGCCCCTCTTCTTCCTAACACAATCCTAATTTTGCCTGGGGAGTAACTATATCCAGCTGAAAATACCCTGCCTCCCAGACTTCCTTACAGTTAGGGGTGGCCATGTGACAGTTCACTCAGAAGTCGGCTGAGGAGTTCTGGGAAGGACTTTATTTTCTTGATATAGGACTTGCTCCTGTTTTCCCTTTGCCTTACTGTTCTTCCCTCTTCTTCCTTCCTGGGACATGGTCAAAAGACTTGGAAGTTCAGCAGCCATCTTGATTCTGAGAGTACAAATATGGGAGGGATACCTACAGGCTAAGTATGATAAGAGTGAAGCCATGAACAGATTCTGGGTCTCCAGTGGCACTGTTGAGCACCTGGACCATTTCTGGACTGCCTGGCTCTACATGTCTTACGTGGGATAAGTGACTTGCTAATTGTTTAAGGCAGAGGTCATTTTTTTGTTGATTATTGCTTTTTAGGGAGAATTATAAAAGAATAAAGATCCTAGGACCATGTCTGACCCTGTGACATTCAGATATCTGGTTCCCTTTTTCTCCAGCAATGAGACATTTTCCACATTTGTATGAGGCTTCTTCTAAATCCAGCATCTTATGTTTAGCTGATTCTAAGATAGAGGAATTGGGCTCTTGGGGACTGGCTCTGGAATAAAGAGCCCTTCCCTGGGGGTCAGGGAGGGTTCTGAGGAGTTTGGGAAGGCAGCCACACTAGTTTGCCACTCTTAAAACTCTACCAAGTGGCTGGGCACAGGTCCAGCATGGAGTTCTTACTTCTCCCCACCCTGTGGAGACCGCTGCACCCCAATCAAAGCATATAGGAAAATCTCCATGTGCTCTTGCCAGGTACAGCATGCAAAATGTGAGTCCAAAGGACATGAAATTGTCCTTGTTCTGATATAAACATGGATAACGATTCTAAGGATCCCTTCCCTGGTGGCACACATATTTGAAAGTCAGAATGAAATCTGCTAACCTCCCTCCTCCCCCCAACACATAGTACATTTCCCATCACTGTCTCTTGTTGGAAGTACTTGGGTGTGAGTGTGGGTACCTGTTTCAGTTTTCACTACCCATCTTACCTGCCCACAGCATGGCTTTTATAGGATCAGGTTAATGTCTTTATGACCCCTGAAATGTCATGACTCATTCAAGTCAGCTCCCCTCTCTGCCACCTGAATCCTGCAGGTCCCCACGGCCTTCCTGGCACTGTCATTTTGATTTCGTCAATTCAGCTATTGCTGAATTCAACAGCACCTGAGTCGGGACTATTAAAGCTCTCAGAAAATCTTATACATCAAAATACAGTGAATGAACATAAAGAGAACATTTTCTTTTTGTTTTTTAGCAAATGTATTCTTCCTCCATCATTTGAAAAAGATAGAATGGCAAAAAGTTAAATCTCCTTTTACTACGGAGGTAAAGAAAATCATGCATTGAGATGATCTTGTCTGGCCTCTGGCACAGACACACTTCCTCTCTCCCAAGGCTCCTTGCAGTCCAAGGCAGTATTTTGTCCTTGGCAGACTGAGTTTTGTCCAATTCATTGGTTCCTTCCCAGATTAGTGCACTCAGACTTTCTCTCATCCCTCCCAGTCTGAGTGTTCCTCCCTCATGGCTTTCACAAGCCAGTCCCGTTCCGTCCCCTGCTCACAGTCACTGGTGTCACTTGCCTCCACGGACAGCAGCTTTGAGTAGTTGATTTTACGCTCTTGAGGCAGCCTCCGCTGTATGGACAGGAACAAGGCCAACCAGAGCAACAGGGCCACAGAGCAGGCCTGGTAGAGCACAGCCAGGCTGGAGTGCATCACCACAAAGCCCCCCATAAAGCTACCCAGGCTAGAACCACTTCCATAAAAGTGGCCTCGGAACATGGCACTCAGAGGTCTCTCCATGCCGGGAGTGGCCATGTCCTCGATCAAGGATCCCACTGCCCACCACAGAGCCCCATTGCTGACAGCACTCAAGATCTGGACAGGGAGGACAGACCACCAGCTCCAGAGAAAGGAGTAGTAGAGCAGCTGCCCGGCAAGGCAGCCCAGTCCCAGCCCCACTGTGCCCACCTTGGACAGTTTCTTAAGCAAAGTAGCTTTGAATGGATAAAGCAGAATCTCCCCCAGCAAGCTGAGGGTGACTGAGAAACCCATGACCAGCTCACTGCTCCCATGGTCCTGCATGTGCCAGAACAGAAAGTTCTGCACAGTACTGATAATGGCTCCTGTCAAAAAGACCGTGGAGGCTAGGAGAATGAGGCGGGCATCACCCCCTACAAGAGACAGTGCTTTGACGTTTTTGTAGCTGGGCTCCCGCCGGCAGACAGGAATAGGAAAGGCAATGCTCACCAGTAGAGCCAGGGTGCTGACTACTGAATAGCCGTAGAAGTGGACCACACCCCGGGAAGCACTGGTCATCAGGGAGCAGTCCAGTTGCCCCACCAAGGCTGCGATGCCACACACGCCTGCCGACATGCCCAGCAATCTCCAGATCCAGAGGCTTCTGTACCTATCAGTGGCATCCACAAAATCCAAGTATTCGTAAAGGCTGTCATCTGCCACCTGCTCCAGAGGGGCTGTCAGCAGCTCCCAGAACACCATGGACCCCAAGGAGAGGATGAAAGTCCACTGCAACCCTTCCAAGGATAGGTCAAGGGCCTGGGCATTTCCCTTGGCCGCCGATAGGTTGGCTGGACTTCCCTGTGCTGTGTCCCCGGGAAGCAAGGGGGGGGCAGTCTTGACCAGCTCAAAAGTACCTTCCCAGGGACTATCTTTCGCCCCTGAAGTGACAGGATGCAAGAGAACTTGGGACGTGGTCCTGACTCCTTCAAGTGAGCCCACTAAATAGGTGTGCAGATCACTGAAGGTTTCTTGGTCACTTCCACCAGGGCCATTTCTGAAGCCAGAGACTTCCACCATTCCAGTACTCCTCTTGGCTGGGAGGCTGGACGTCCCTGCTGGGCGGTTCGGGGCAGGCTCTCGGGCAGAGGTGATATTCACAGTTAGTGTGACCCCCAGTGGTGCGACTGTGGTAGCCATGCCACTGCTTCCATTACAAGAGCGGTTCATCAGATCTTTGTCCAACGGTGGGACCAGGACCATCAACAAGCTGGCTCCCACCGAGCTAAGCGGCGAGCCTAGCAGAAGCACTCTCCGTTTCCGGTAGCTTTTGGCCAGGAAGGCACAGATGGGAGCCCAGAAGGCTGCGACCAGGTGCTTGGTTCCCATTAGGATGCCCACCCAGGGCGCGGTCAAGCCCAGTTGCCTCAGGTAGAGGGTCAGGAACGGGGACACGCAGGCATCCCGGACCCCACACACCAGGTGGAAGAGCTTGGCCACCCCCAGCGTCCTCCTGATGTCCCACTGGGGGTTGGCGCTCATGGCCGCCGGGCTCGTTCAGATCCGGCCCAGCAGAGGGCGGAACCGGGTGCAGGGCGAGCGCGGCGACAGCCGAGGAGGGCGCGACCCCATGTCCCCGAGAGGGAAGTTCGGGGCTCGAGGGTCGGAGCGAGTCGACCACGCTTCCAGCCTTGGGCGGCGCCGCGGTGAAGTCAACGGCCACAGCGCCCCATCCCACGTCAGGCCGTCCGCCCGGAAGTGACCCCGCCCCGAGGGAACGGCGCGGCAGGGGCCGGGCCTGCGAGGCGGGGGCGGGGCCGGCGCA